ACATTAACAGACATACAACATTTTACACTCTTGACTCATACTGTAAATAAAAAAGCATGAGCTGGGCGTGGTGGCGCACGCCTGTAATCCCAGCACTTGGGAGGCTGAGGCAGGAGGATCATTGCGAGTTCGAGACCAGCCTGGGCTACAAAGTGAGCTCAAGGCCAGCCTGAACTGCAGAGCAAGACCCTGTCTCAAAAAAAGACAAAAGGGGCTGGGGATTTAGCTCAGCGGCACAGCACCTGCCTGGCAAGTGCAAGGTCATGAGTTCAATTCCTGGTACCAGAAAAAAACAAAAAACAAAACAACAACAACAGAAAAATCAAAAAAAGAAAAAAAAAACCTCCAGAAAATATATGGCTCGACAATCCAGCCACATGACCCTGAGTGTGACAGCTGCTCCGGATAAGATTCTGCAGGTGAGACAGCCAGTGTGTCCTGGTGTGCAAGGAACTGTGTGGGAGGACACACAGCGGGGAAAAGTCTCTGTACAGTTCCTCAACGGAGACACCTAAGGAGGGCTTACTATGCCCTAGACCCCCAGCACCAGCCCATGAGCTGGCACTACACAGATGAGGAAACTGAGGCAGAGAGGTCTTAAGTGACATCGCCAAGGCCACCAAGCCAGGCACAGTGGGTTGCCGGGTGTGTTCCCAACCATACGCCATTCCTGGGGCCTAGAGACTGCAGGCCACAACAGGAAGAGCCGCTATGCTACGGGTGCAGAGAAAAGCCTCCGGGCGGGGGAGGGGGGCACCGGCAGGAAGCAGCACACAGGGCTGCTGTGGGGCCAGGGCTGGGAGACCAGTTAGGAGGCGATCACTCTCTCTGGGCGGGGAGAGCAGGAGCAGATGCAGACGCAGACGGAGTCACCTGACAAGGTGACCCACCAGGACATGGACGATGGACACCATGCAATGGGCCCCAGAGAAGAGCTCTGGAGCAAGCCGCTGAGGCCAGTTTGGGACAGGGAGAAGCCCAGCAGAAAGCACGGACTGGGGCCAGGGCTGGAAATCAGGGAATGCTGACGGTCAGAGCAGAAGCTACCAGTGCAAAGGCGGGAGCCGAGACCTCAAAGGTGGGGAGGCTGCTGGGGTCCGTAGGGGCAAGACGCGGAGTGTCGGGAACAACACCCCGGACAGACAGTATTTAGGAGACCCAAGCCGCCCCACAGTTCCCAACTCACCCTGCTCCCCGTGGTCGTGTCGGCCTTGATCTCGGCACCGAGGCGGTCAAACACGGACATCCTGTGCAGACCTGGGAAGGAAGCGAGGCCATCAGGGAGCCCCTGCCGAGCAGCTCCTGGGGCTCAGCCTAGGCTGGGCACCCTGCAGACGCCACGGGAGAGGACAATACCAGTCGGCTCTGCTACCACAGGGACAGCCTGTGCCAAGGCAGGCTTTGCATCTCACAGCTGAGTAACAATCTTCACCCACAGCACCTGGCCGGCGTTACACGTGGCCAAGCTCGACTGACACCCAGAATTCCTTGGACCTCCGTACAAGCCCATGAAATGTGTGTGGGCAATGCTTACCCGTTGTTTTCACTCTGGAGGTCACGGACCTCTGGGAGAATCTGATGAATGGTAATGAGTCCGCTCCCTAAATCATAACCTAAATTCTCCACCAGTAGAACATTTACTAAATCACGGTATATAAATGCTATGGAAATAAATGACCATTTAAAAAGAATGAACCCAGCACTCAGGAGGCCGAAACAGGAGGATTATGAGTTTGAGGCCAGTCCAGGCTATGGGTTACATAGTGAGTTCAAAACCAGCACATCAAGATCTGGAATGCGCATCAAGATCTTCTCCCCCAGCATCCCCCCAAAAAAACTCTACATGTAGTATTTTTTGTTTATTTGTTTAGTTTTTTTTTTTGGACTTTTTGAGACAAGGTTCAGGCTGGCCTTGAGCTCACTTTGTAGCTCAGACTGATCTTGAACTTGCAATGATCCTCCTGCCTCAGCCTCCCGAGTGCTGGGATTATAGGTGTGCGCCACCATGTCTACATGTACTATTGTAATAAGATCTTAATAAGAAAACTATATATGAGACAATACCCATAGGATGATGGCACTTGCATTGAAATGGTTGTAACGGCCATGGGATACAGGAGCAAAGGGAAAGAGTATGGTTTTTACTACGTATGTTTCTGCACCATCTGCAAGTTTTTCCAGAACAAACACAATATTGTAAGGTGGTCCTGCTGTAAGAAGCCCATCCCTACAACACCGTCACAGGCCCTAGGTTTAGCCTTAATCTCAACCAGATTCCTCTGACTCAGCAACGGGGCTCACTTTGGGGCCCCTGCCCCCAGCCAGGCATGGTCACTGTTTATTACAGGCAGGCCGTCCCTGACTCTTCCCTCACCCTCACCCGCTGGGCCAGAGCCACTGAGCAGCCCAGTTACAGGAGCCACAGGCTGACGGGGCAGGGGTGATGTGCCATCCTCCTCTACAGCCGCTGCTGCTATCCTCTGGGCCCAAGGCTCCTCAGTCCCCCCTTAAAGACTGCTTCTCAGCCACCACCTACAGGGCGTGACCGACGCTGCACAATGCAGCAGAGTAGAAACGCAGTCTGTCCAGCCCATGGGCCAGTACCTTTGGCCGCCTGCTGCTGCTCCAGGATCTTGCGGGTCCGGGGGGTGGTGCCCTTGGGCATGTTGATGATGTATTTCCCTTCCATCTCAGCAGTGACCCGGCGCCGCTTGGTGGGAACCTCCAGGCTCTCCTCCTCCCCACGCGCCAGGGCAGCTGCTGGGGAGGAAGGCACGGGGTCAGCACCCTCCACGATGGAGGGCTCTCCAGAGTCAGGCTGGACACCAGGTGAAAGGCACACAGAGCCCCTGAGCCCCGTGTCCCTTACCTGCCCAACCGCCTCCACCACTGCCATCACCGCCCGCTGGGCCATCAAGGTTGTTACAGTTTGTCCGGATGTCTCCCCAAAGCCTCCTGCAGTCACGGGTCAGGCTTCCAGAGTTTATGATTGATTCAAGGGTGTGATTGCTACACTTGCCCTGGGGCGGGTAGTTTGCATACAATATAAGGGTGGGAAAGAGGCTGCTTGCCGCCTTTCCTCCCTTTTGCTCTTGCTGCTTTTGCTGTCTTCCGCCTCCATGAGCGGTTGCCCTCTGCCCTGTACCACTCTGCCTTGGAACCAGCCAAGTAGGGACTGAGACCTCCACAAACTGTGAGCTAAATAAACCTCTCCTTCCTTAATTTTGGGCACTGGGTATTTTGTCTCAGGGAGGAGAGAAAAGTAACCAAGACAAAGGCACTCAGAGATCCGGCTGTGACAGAGGGTGCCTGAATCCCCAGGCTTCGTGGCTCACCCCAAACCAGCCCGAATCCCACCAGACTCGGAAGCTGCGAGGTGGGAAGGAGGTTCCAGACCACCATCCAGGGGCTGCTTTCACACCTGCGCTCATCGGTGGCTTTAGTTTCTGTCTTGCACTCACTCCTTAGAAACCCAATCAAGCTGTTTACAGTTCTTCCCTTTTGGGCACTGTGCGTAAGTAAACTCTACCTCCAGGTGTAACACAGGAATCCCTTCAAATGTGTCAAAGGGTAAAAACCCATCTGGCTGCTGAGGACGCAGCCGGTTCTTTACCACAGGCACCAGGCACAGTGCCAGGCACCAGGTGGGGCACAGTGTACATCTGCTGCGGCAGCCTGGGCCACTGAGAGACAAGTGCGGTGCCTCCGCCCGCCGGCCCAGCGTTGCTGCTGTGCTCGCAGTCAGGGCATCGCCGCTCCATTCTAGAGACGCAGATGTGGGGCCCACAGAGGGCACAAGCCCAGACACTTGTGCACCGCGTGGCCTTCGAAGCAGCTTGCGAGGACATGGGAGCACGACCCCCAAGCACCTTCTGCTCGCCCACGCTCACATCCAGCTCCTCTCACCTGAGGCCTGGGCACTCTTTGCCGCCATCTTGTTGGACACAGTGACTGAGATCTTGGAGGTGCTGGTGTCCGGCCGCCTCGGGGGCGTGCCGGGCGGGGAGTCCCGGTTCAGGCTGTTGGCGATCATGCGGGAGGCAGCTGCGGAATGCGAGGGAAGAGGCCCGTCAGGCCGGCTCTGGGCAGGTCTGGTCCACAGTCCTGGGCCAGGGTGGAGAAGAAGGCAGGGGCAGCGAGTGCCACCCTTGCGGCCGCACCGTCCTCACGATGCAGGGACGCTGGGGTGGGCTCCTCTTCCGGGAACCAGCCCCTCCCCTCTGCCCCCTGGCCCACACACACTGCGCTTCCTTTTTCCACACAGTCCTTCGCCCTGCCTGACAGTAAATGGTGTGTCCTTCCTCACGGGTGGACTCCCCCACGGGAATGCAAGCTGCGTGGGGAAGCAGGGTCTGTTTGCTGCTCTATCCCAGTGCCTACAGTCATGACTGCCCTTTTGTAAGCCCCCATAAATGTCTACTGAAGCGAGGGGCACTATCCCCGAAGCCACCGACATCCCTGACAGGGCCCACTGCAAACCAACCCTACAGACGAGGGGAACAGGCTCAGGAAGGGGAGCCACTCAGCCAGGCCCCTGAGCAAAGTGGGTGTGGCTCTGGCTGGACAGGCACAAGACAGAGGTGGCCTCGTCTCAGGGCGGGCAGGCATCTCTGGTAGCCAGTCTCCCGCAGACAGAAGGAATGGCCCGGGGTGTGCAGGTGGAGCTGCTGGCATGCCCACCGCAGGCCCAGCCTAGAGCGAAGGAGACCGGTCTTATCTCACGGTAAGTTGATGCCAACAGCAGAGCGTGGGCTTTTGAGGACTCTTGGGGCAAGTAATGCTGTCTGCATTTGGATGTTGGCTGGTCCGAGCGTCCGTCTGTGAAAGCCATTCGGCTGTGCCACTGTGACCAACCCCTGTTCTGTGTAAGTGCTGTAGGACTACGGCAGAAACGAGCCCTGGTGTGTTCAGCTTTCCTGCATCCACGCCTTTGGGTCAGCTCTGCCCACACGCATTCTATCAGCCTAGTCACGGCGCTTGCTTTGGTCAATTAAGTAAGAGCAAACATTGCCGGGCACGGTGGCACACGCCTGCAATCCCAGCACTCCGGGAGGCTACGGCGGCAGAGTCCGGAGGTAGTGTGTTTTTTTTTTTCTGTTGTTTTGTTTTTGGTACCAGGAATCAAACTTAGGACCTCACACTGACCAGGCAGGTGCTGTGCCGCTGAGCTATATCTCCTGCCAGATGTAGCATGTTAAGTAGCAAAGCCTAGCTTATGTGTGGGTTAAATTTTAGAATTTTATTTGAAAAATATTAAAAATGTTGCAAATTCACTTTTTCATCAAAATTCATTTGAGGATGTAGTTCAGCGCAGAGGCCCTGGATCCAACCTCTAGCAGCACCCAAAGGCAGGACGGGAGGGACGGAGGGGAGGCACGGTTACAGAGGCCGGAGCGCAGCTCAGTGGTGGAGCCCGTGCTTGGTGTGTACGAGGCCCTGGGTTCAATCTTGAGCCCCACCAAAAATAAATAAATTCACAAAACAGAATAAACTTTAGTTCCGTACTGATCAGCTGATGAAAGTGCTGTGACTCGAGGCTTGCAGGAACTGACGCCTCTACTTCCCCTAGACCACTGGTGGTGACCCCACGGCAGGCGTGTTACTTGTGACGAAAAGACATTAATGTATGCGTTGATCTTTTAAATTAAAAGCTCTGCGTTCAGGTTTAACTGCAGTGTTGGCACTTGGTGATGAATGAGTGGGCTATGGGTTGCAGTCTGGGCACTCGTGTCCAAAAGGTTCACCATGGCTGCCCTAGGAGCGGGGCTCTGGTCTTCACTGGTTTAGCAAATGAAGCGACCGTATAACCATGACTGAGAATGGTCTGAAAGAGGAGTGCTGACTACCCAGGGTGTTTTTCTCCCTCAGAGAACAGGGCTTCAGAGGGCTTTGCTTCTATCTCTGTACATGACAGGCAGGAAGGGATGACCAGGATGTCCCCTTAGTGACAGTGTAGGGAAGGGGAAGGACCCCTAAAGAGACGCAACTCACCGCTAGCGGTGCCACGACGTAGCTCAGCCGGGAGGGGGCTGGGGCTGTAGGGGACCGACTCAGTGGCAGCTTTGCACATATCCTGTAAAAAACAGGCACCTGGGTTAGCGCCGCAGAGCCCGGGACTGGAGATCGGAGCCACATCCCGAGGACCAGAGTGCGCCCGCTAGAGAAAAGTGAAAACATTTTGCACCTGACCAGGAGCAAGTGTCACACACACCCGCACTGGGGCCCACACCACAAAACATCCAACCAGTATTCTTTAGATATGTCAAGATTGGGCCGGGGGTGTGGCTCAGTGGTAGAGCAGTGGCCTAGCACGGCCCCAGCTCCTGAGGCAGAGAGATGACAATTATCGTGAGGAAAATGAGAGCTCAGGGTAATCACAGTAACTACAGAGTCTTTTCCAGGCCCTACTTTAGGAAGTGTACACTGTGCTAGTTTAATATACACACTTATCCTGCAAGATGTTTGTACCTGCTTTTCACAGGCAGAGAAGTAAGGCTCAGAGAGGTTAGACAACAGGCCCTATGTCAAACAGCAAAGGGCTGAACGAGCCTCAGAACTCAAGTCCACCTGGCCTTTGCCGCCAGGCCTCCTGCTGGCTCTGCAACTGCCCCCACCCCGCCCCCCACTAAACCAGGGACACAGAGCGCGGGCAGAGCACCCACCTGGCGGTGCACCACCTTGGCATGCTTGAGGATGGCGATGATGTCACCCACCACGGTCACACCCAGCTCGTTCATGATCTCCTTGTTGAGATCCAGCAGCATGCTCTTCTGGATCCTGCAGGGGAGGCAGAGCCGTGAGGCCCCCAGTGGGCCCTGGCAGGCGGGAGGGGCAGCCAGCTCCCCACCTCCCCCACCAAGTTCAGCCAGATGCGGCAGTCACCTCACCTATTATCCACAAACATCACAGCGTAATTCACAGCAGGTCCCGGGGGAATGCCAGCTTCCTTGAAGAACTGGATCCACTCAGAAGTGGCTGGGGGTTAAACAGGGCTCGTTACTCACATCAGCCTCTTGAGGGAATAGAGCAGCAAAACCGCAACAGCAGTGGCTCCCGTGAATTAAATGCCCATCGCCTGCTGCGCCCTATGCCGAGAGCTGTGCACAGGGGACGAGACGAAGCTCTCCTGACCCCCCTGAGAATTAAGCTCATTGAGATTCCCTGATCTGCCAATGAGGAAACTGAGGCAGGGAGAGGTTAGCCGCAGAGCACAATGCTAACGAGGAAGCCAGTCCCCCAACGCTGAACCGCCTTGACCAGCTGCCTGTCTCCACGCATGTCTGGCCTGCCCTGGCTCTGACGTCACTCCACGCACCCGGCCAAGGACAGGTGTGAGGAAACTGAGACCCTAGGTTCTCTGCCCTGATCCCTATCAGGGAGCCGAGGCCCAGAAAAATCACAGCACAGCAGTACCGGCCTCTACACAGGAGCAGCTGTGCCTCAGAGAGAAGCAGGAAAGGTACTAGGCCAGGCTTTGGGGCTTGGGTTCAAATCCCAGCTCTGCCATTTCCTGGCTGAGGGGCCCTGGACAAGTTGAGGCTCAGTGTTTTGGTTTTGGTTTCCTCATGTACAAACGTGGGCTCAAACTGTACATCTGACACTCAGCACGCGTCAGGCCCTGTTCCGGACACTGGGGATACCGCAGAGCACAAGGTGAGGCCCCTGCTCTCACAGGGGTGATGGTTTAATGTTAACAGAACCAACACCCTTGGGTCGCTGCACAGACTCAGTGAGAAAACCCACAGAAAGGGCTTGGAATGGGGCCTGGCTAAGAGGGCATCCGCCACCCACGCCAGCTATGACTGATATTACTACAGGGTCACCTGACGGAGCTGGACAGGGGTGCAGCACAGTGGTGCAGGGTATGCATAGCACGCAGGAGGCTCTGGGTGGGACCCTCAATACCACCACCACCACCACCGAAGGTGCGGAGCCCCGGCAGACCCAGGCTTCACTGCTCCCTGGTCCTTTGGCTGCCACCCTCACACTGCCCAAGATTTGTCAGGCCAGGTGTCAGATAGGAGCAGTGATTCCAAGTAGAGGACATTCTTTTTCACATTTTAACATCTCTGAAGAATGCCAGGGCTTAATTGGCAACTTTTTACCCTGCTCATGGTACGTAACAGTACACCTAACAATCTACGCCCTTTTTTTTCCTGTCTTTTTTTTTTTCTTTTTGGTACTAGGAATCAAACAGGACCTCATGCTTGCCAGGCAAGCGCAATTCTGTTGAGCTATACTGCCAGCCCCCTTTTCTGTCTTTTTGAGACAGGGTCTTGCTATGCAGTTCAGGATGGCCTTGTGCTCACTTTGTAGCCCCAGCTGATCTTGAACTCACAACAATCCTCCTGCCTCAGCCTCCTGAGTGCTCGGATTACTGTGCCATTTTATTTTGCTTTTTTTTTTTTTTTTTTGGTGTTTTTCTCTGGTACCGGGAACCGAACTCACGACCTTGCGCTTGCCAGGCAGGCGCTTTTGCCGCTGAGCTAAATCCCCAGCCCCTACTGTGCCATTTTAGAGTAGAAGAAATTTGGGGCTACTTCGCTAATTTTCCTTTTAAGGTAAGTGACACTCAAGTGTCACTTGAGTTAAGAAAGAGATACACTCAGGATTTGATGGCTTATGGGAGGCACACAGGGCTCAGGCACAGGCCCAGGGGCAATGCCTCTCCCAGAATGGTGCTGCTCAGCCAGCAGCCTGAGCCCAGGGACTAGGGCAGGTGAGGAGCTCACGCCCTCAGGACCTCCTCGCCCTGCCTGGAGAAAGGGGCCATTCCCCAATTTCCCCAGGCATTGCCCACCTGCCGAGCCACAGGGCCCAGTGCTCCGTCAGCCAAGAGCAAATGCTTCTGTGTAAGTGCCAAAGAGCACCACAGATCGATTCCATTTCTATGGAGTCCCCAGAACACGCAAATCTAGAGAGGCCAAAAGTTGCTAGGGGTCAGGAGGAAAGAAGGAGGAGCTTCGATGGGGTTGGAGCTCTTCACAGAGAGTGATGCATGTTTTGTAATTGATGGTGGTGATGGTTGGGCAACTCTGTGAATACAAAATGTAAAAACCATAGAATTGTACATTTGACACTGGTAAAATATACATTGATGAACTGTATCTCTACTAAACTGTGACTAAGCAGAGAAAAAGCACTACGTCAGTTCTCAGGACTACAGATACCCCTTTGCCCAAGGACCTTGTTAAGGCCAGCAATCATCATCCAGGTGTTACTAAGGAGGAAAAGGTGCCGGGTGTGGTGGTGCACACCTGTAATCCCAGCACTTGGGAGGCTGAGGAAGGAGAATCCTTGCAAGTTCCATGACCTGGGTTCCATCCCTGGCACTATCAGGGGAGGAAAAGAGGAAGATCTATTGACTGGTACATGGCTGGGCGCAATGGCGTACCAGCACTCGGGAGGCTGAGGCAGGAGGATTGTTGTGAGTTTGAGACCAGCCTGGGCTACAAAGTGAGCTCAAGGCCAGCCTGAACTGCGAAGCCAGACCCTGTCTCAAAAAGCCAAAAAAAAAAAAAAAA